AGGCTTCAAACGTAAAATATATTTTATGTTCAAGAATGTGATTGTAATCAAATATAATCACCAGTGGGGATTCCTAGTTGGAATTTGGGCCCGAATGGATCGAATGATTGGCTCGGTGACTTGGTTGATAGCGTGTCATCCTAACCCGACGGCATGGATTGTTGATCATAATATCAATCACTGAATTATGTCGCCCAGACTCGACTATTTACAGGCCGACGTTATATAGCTGGAATAATGTTGAATGCGGCGTTAAACAATAAACACGCACAAACACGTAATAGACCGTATATTTATTTGTGTCTATCAATTGTGTCGTTTGATGTCAGAATCTCAACGGATGTTATCATGCCTTTGGTCGAGTACTTTATAACAGTTGTATAAAACTAATTTAACCGTTACCCCTTGATTGAGGTGTACTTTCCCATACATAAATATTGCACATGAAATAATGTTTTTAAGACCAGATCTTTCTTAATAAGCTAAGTAGTTTTACCTCAAACGATTATATCCCCTGTTACATATACACTGCTACACTTACGCCTACCCATATGTATTTCACCAATACCAACTCTGCCTAGTTTGTTGCTCTAATAATTGTACTGCCTTCATCAAAATCACCTTCTAACTTTACACGTGACATTTGACGTTTGCAAAACTGTAACATTGCGTGTCGGCCTTTCTAATGCAATCAATCCTGTCTGTTGGCAGTGACAATTCATCCGCTCACATCTAACCAGTTTATTATATAAAAGCATTTAATCAGAACCTTTTCCGCATGGTTTCTCATTCATGCAAAGTCATCGTAAACCAGATTGGTTACCCTGACAACTGAGGTACACAAATATTGCGACCTGATCAAAAATAATTATTTCAATGTTTTTCTTCTGACTCTCGTCTTTGAAATCTGTCTATCATTTTTGATATCATCAGCCATGATTTTCCGTTCAGGTTTGGCTACTTCACGTTTATATTGAGTTTGAAGCTGACGCTAATAATATTTAGGAAATAATGCAATTGAAGTAGTACTTCAAAGTTGTCACTTTGTACTTCATGTCCGTTATTCAGTTATGGCCTGATAAGACTCGTACGTGCTACGAGTTGAAAGCGCTAGCCAATTAAAACTGTGTTCATTCTTACTCCACTTATTTAATTATTACTATATTGTGCCTGAGTGTTAGAACTTTACTTTGCTTTATATACAAAGATGAAACATTCGACATAATTTCATGTATTCAAATTGATATTATAGGAACGTTAGTTACTGTATATATATATATATATATATTTATATATATATTACAAAGATGAAACATTCGACATAATTTCATGTATTCAAATTGATATTATCGGAACGTTAGTTACTGTATATAGATAAAATAAGAACTGATGTGACTAAGGGAGATGTGTACTGCCATGCTGGTAGCTGTGATCAGTTCCTTTCATTGGAACATAGATTATGGGTGTGGTCCATTGTCACTGATTTGTGACTTGATCGCCTAGTTGTCACCAATGACAAGATAATAATGTGATCTTTAAACTCTCTTCTTGTATCAATTGACACCCAAGTGTGATACAGACGTAACATATCAACGAAACGTAAACTGAAGTATGACACACATATGCACCTGCAAATATGTTAACCTTCTTATAACATATTCAGTTTTATAACATTTGTATATGGTAACCTTTTTGTAATGTTCTGAAATACAGAAACTGAAACGAGTTCTCTAGAGCGTGTTTTGTCCAGATCAATAGTTATTTGACTTCCTTGTCACTTGATTTCTTTGCTTCTTTGTATCATATGGTATCGCCAAGTACCTGCGAGGACCATGCAGTGGTCTGGTACCAACTACCGAGGTGCTATCGGTGGTATCTTGGACATTTGTCACAATTAGCTATCTCCAAAAGACACATGGAATTTCGGGACATGACGATAAAGAATGGGTGGTATTAATCTGTTTTCCGAACTGTTTTATTGGCATTCTAGAAGTTGGTGAGTAAATAAGAAAACGTTCTACTTCATGGATGACAACTTCTAAATGGGACTATTTAGCTAGGAGGGGGACACCACCGCTAAATGCAATAAACCAGAAGCTGTTTTCCATTCAGTTGTAGCTTCTTATATTTTTCTCACTGTATACATGCATGCACAAGCCTACCTTAAGTTCTTTAAAATATAGTCATAATCATTTATAAATATTGTTGTTAATGTAGGATGGCTATATAATCATAAAGAAGAACTTGTGAACATTATTTCCAATACTGATTAACCCTACAGCTGAACTCTTCCGAAGGCTTTACATTAAAATCAGCAATTGAGTGTGACTAAAAAATACTTTGCAGAAATTCTGCTTATTTATCCCTTTCTTTAAACCACCCTAATGTACTGGAATTAAATCGACTTCATTATTATCATTTCATAACCCTATTTTCTGCCCACTTCACTGTCGTTTCAACGCTTCTGTCTCTAATGCTTTCTCCTGAATGACACTCTAAGAGGCTTTTACAAATCTTCTTTGTTTTGCTACAATCTAGCACCGTCACTGTCAACGTTTGCATTGATGGCGCAAAGATTGCGTGAGGTCACCCTTGCTGCTTTGTCTTCTCCTGCACGACGTGTCGACTTTGGTCGTTCCCGTCGTCAGCTAATTGTTATATGTCCTTGAGCGCCCATGCTTTAACGTTGTGCCTGACTCGAGAGATTGATGGACGACGAATGATAGAAACGCGTTAGTTTCAGCTGATTTTGTGTATGCACACTGAAAATAAAGGTCACGTTCTGTGTGTTCAGAAAATATTTACATTATTGATGGCTACATTAGCTTTGATGTCGATGTTAGATTTTATTTTATATAATGATACAAAACAAACTTGAAATATGCCATTATCGTTACTGAGGAATCCATAGACACCAGGGATTGATCTTGAGAGTTGAAACGATGTTTGTTTATTTTTTCAAAATCATGATATAAAATCGGCATCTTCTTTAAAATGCGTAATTAGAAAACTATACATAATATATTTTTCAGGAACGGACGCATACATATAAAAACTTATTAAAATTCTTGAATAGATTATATTTTTATACAGCATACAAAGTATAACACATGTAAAGGACTGTATATATTTTTATCCAAACTGAGGCAACCCATGTTGTAAAATACATTGTGAAATGATATATCCTTCTAAACATTAAGGTCCCTTAAGGTTCATCTTGTGGTGATGTGTTTTCTGCGAGATGTTAATACAGTCGATATTAGCTCCTATTCTGGTCGATAAATTGAAACACGAGAAGTCTGTTTGATTGCTTTGCTTCGCCGTTCTGACTCTGCGCGTATCAGTTAATATAGTTGGACCAATGCATGATCACCATTTGTAGGAAATTCTTAATCGGAAAACTCTTTTGTTGGGTCTTGGGTTGACTGTAGGGAATTGGTTTGCAATAAACTACAAAGTAAGGCTTTTAATGGAAGTATCACCGTGTTATGTATCACTAATCTCCCCTTATCGCTATCACTTATCACTGTCTACACCAGTCTCAAGTTCTACGAATGTACAATTACTACAATCCAATTGTATTCTTACTCCAAACGTATAATTTACCTTTGGCTGAGGTAACATTACTAACGCAAATAAACAATTCCAAGAAACTGCAGACGGAAATAACGTTAGGAATATGGTAATATGAAATCAATATTATTACTATAATTATCAGAAGTGACTGCTGAAAAGGTGCATGTACAGTGCATTAAAAATCCTGGGTTGAATATTGATTTGTTTCTGTTGTGGTGTAAAAATAGACAGATAATTCATTTTTTAGAGTCTTATGAATGTTCAATGATAATAGCATATACATATACGGGATCGGGTGGTCAGGCTCGCTGACTTGGTTGATGCATGTCATCGATCCAAATTGCGTGGATCGATGCTCATGATATCAATCACTGGATTGTCTGGTCCAGACTCTATTATTTACAGACCGCCGTCATATAGCTGGAATATTGCTGAGTGCGGCGTTAAACAACAAACCAACCAACCAAATCATATTTTGTTCACTATAGTAAACGTTTGTGCTCAGGTCATATGCATATGCTCTACATGGCTATTCAAAGGAACATTTTATACGTATGAATACAAAACTGACTACTACTACATGGAATGGCTCGATCCTTTAATAACCGTCTTCGCCATGCTTGTCGTTTTGACATTGAGGTCAATCCATAGTACGACCCAGAATATGTTGAGGTCGTCATGGAAAATAATAAATACAAAACTCTTTTGAATATTCCCGTATACAGCCTTTACGTATCCAGGCCAACAATCCCTGATCTTGTCCTTTTTGATAAATCCAATGAATTCATTTATGTCATTAAATTGTTCTATACCATTTGACCCTATTGTGATTGCCAAGATTCAGGAAAGACATCGCTTTCGAAATGTCACGCTTGTATCCCAAGTACCAAGTTGTCCGACTCCCAATTGTTCTCGGTGCCTTAGGTTTGGTACCTCCCAATCTGGGTAATGCAGAAGGCTGCAGTGTTGGGGAGTCTTCACATTCTACGAAAGGTTCTCGGTGGGTTTGACTGGGCAGCGCGTCCTGGGAGAAGTCCCATTCGCTGTCTGGGCTGCGTGTAGAGGGGGCAAGGGCCCTGAGCTGATAATGAACCTAACCAGCCTGACTGTGCCAGGATCACCCAAACCCTCTTTGCTACATTTTTTATTTTAATCTGACCATAAAAATATTTTAAAATTCATAATTTAATGCGACTTAAAAGGATGGGTATACTTATTACAACGCCGGTCAACTGAATTTTCAATTGCATTCTCAGCTCCCGGGGAATCATACGACCCCAGTTGCCCGTAGTGCTATACATCGCGGGGCAGCAAACTAAAACATTGAGCGCGTCACATTAAGCATGCTTTCAACTGAAACTCATTATTATAGATTATGTTTTGACATTGTTCGTTGTCTGAACAGAGTGACTTTATATTTTCAGGATGTTGGGGAAACAGCAAGATGAAAAATCTTTAGTCAAATATGACGAACTGGATGAGGTTTATTCAGAGGAAGATGATCCGGAGAAGAAAGCCAAACCCGCTTTCAAGTGTAGCTGCTGCAGATGCAACTGTGCCAAGCGATATCTTATTGCTATCCTCAGTAGCATCGGATTCATTTTATCATTTGGTATTCGGTGCAACTTAGGAGTTGCAATCTTGAAAATGACAAAGAACGAAAGTGTCGACTTGGATGGAGATGGAACAATTAGACAAAATGAATCGGTAATTTGATTGATGAAATTCTATCGGTAATTCTAAATAAAATAAGTAATACACTACCTTGTTGACAATAATAACAAAAAGATTAATATGATTGAAATACACGTCCGAGTGCCAACTATCATCCTCGATAATACAGGGTATGATATTGGCATTTTATTACAGTAAATACCCTGGACCCACAGCTTCCGTACGATTCTAAACATAAAAAATGTTCTTATGAGTGCGAGAAATTATGTTTTGTAAGACAGGAGAAAATAGATGTTGACGTCACTTTCGAAAAGAGGATTTGATAGCGAATGGGTCCTGGTGTTTGTCATTACAAAATGAAGATATAATGCTCTGGATAATCGAGGATGTCCAAGCGTAGCATATTACAGTGAGAGGATCCGGTTTGGTGCATATGTACCAGACGAAATAATGTCATTTGTAAATTGGATGCATCAGGTTCTATAGTTTTCTCACAAACGTATTCGGTGGCTACAATAATACAGATTTGATTTCAAAATCAAATCCGTCACTCATAACAGCGTTATACATGACATACGCTAAACACTGTTTGTTCTCTTCGAATGATTGTACTGTATACCTGTGTTTAATCGAGTGTTCTTGTTTCAGGAACCAGAGTTTAGTTGGACGCCAGAAACAGTTGGTGTTGTGGATAGCTCTTTTTTCTGGGGATACATAGTTACGCAGGTACCAGGAGGGTATCTGGCATCCAGATTGCCAGCCAACAGGTAACAATCCTTTAACTACCCCGTGGTTACATAATACTTGTGATAGTGGACGACAGACTAGCCTTATGGTTGAAGCACTCGCTCGTGTCGCCTAATCCTGGGTTCAGAGCTCCACGTGGGTACAATGTGTAATGTCCATTCTTGGGGCCCCCGCCGTGAACTGTCTGGAATATTGCAAAAGGCGACTTAAAAACTAATATATCATTTGTGAAAAGGGGAATAGATGACCGTAAGATGTAAATGCGCCGCAATTGGTTGTGTTGAGTACCATCCCTGCCAGCATCCGCTGATCCAAAGATTAGCCCCAATAATGATCTTTGATCAGCGCCATGCAGATGCCTGCTTCGTCACTTTGACCTTCGCTTCTACAATGAAGCTAGCTGACATGTTGCGATTCAACGATGCTTTAAATCCTACTTCCTCAGGTTACTGAAGTTGTTTCCCAGTACAAATGATGTCCGATTATAGAGGAATGTTCATACAGCAAATATACTCTAATGAATATAAATTTAGGTAAATATTGAAATGTTCATATCTACCAGTTACCATTACTCAGAATATAATTCAACCTATTTTATTTTCCAGATTATTTGGCATGGCTATAGGCCTATCAGCATGTCTGAATATGTTACTACCAGCAGCTGCTAAAGTACACTATGGTCTGGTTATATCAGTACGAATCCTACAAGGATTAGTTGAGGTACGTTTTTGTTCTTATTGTACTCGTCGTAAGTGAGTTACGTTAATGCGTTTTGAAAATAATCATCGTAAATAATAACACACCAATACATGTTGACAAATAGAAATGTGTAATATTGTTAGTTTGATTCTGTGTGTTGCAGGGTGTGACATACCCATCGTGTCACGGTATTTGGCGACACTGGGCCCCACCCTTAGAGCGATCCATGCTAGCCACTATATCATTTTGTGGTAAGTGCAATTCAATGTTAGTTCTACATCATTTTCTGATAAGAACCTTACATCCTTATGGAACACACATTTACATGATTTTCCATGTTAGCCCTACAACTTTTTCTGAAAGGCACATTTTCATTTTACCCGCTACATCCTTTCTGATAAGAATATCTTCACGTCAGCCACAATACCTTTCTCACAAGCACATTTCATGTTAAACCTACATCCCCTATAAAACACAGATTCCACAGGACACCTTTACATCATTTCCTGCGAAGAACATGTTCATGTTAGCCGCTAAATCATTTTCTGAAAAGCACATTCTATGTATGTTAATGGCCACCTCCTTTCTGAGCACATTTTCACGTCAGCCACTACATCCATTCTCACAAGCACATTTCATGCTGACCCTACATCCCATGTAGAAAGCACATTTCCATGTCACCTGCTGCAGAGTTTTCTGCTAACACATTTTCCTGTTAACTGCTATCTATTTTCTGGAAAGCACATTTCTATGTAAGCTGCCACATCATTTTGTGATAAGTACATATCCTTGTTAGCCTCGAAATCATTCGTGGTAAGGACATATCCATTTAAATAACAAACTCATTTTGCAGAACAACATATTACCCGCTAGGTAACTTAAGTGCGTGTAAGTACATATCCATTTAAGTAGCAAGCTCATTTTCGTGTAAGTACATACCCATGTCAACAAGAACCCTTGCGTTATCAATGGCATTGTTCATATAAGGTACTCTTCAGACCATAAACATGGGTAGTGTACAATAGAATATCATTTCAAAAGGAAACAAAAGAAACACGGGCTGACCGTCTCAGGGTCCTTAGGCAGTTGTAGCGCCCTACTACGGCCATCACACGACGTCGACTTGTCCCTTAACAATATCGTCTCCCACGAGTACAACATGGACGCTATTTTGAATCTAAATGTCACGGCTAACATAGACACCATGAACATGTCTCATTGGACATCGATCTTTCAGCAGTCATTGTTATCTTAATACGAAAATAAAATTCATACGACCTCTTACAAGCACTTGGTGACGAGATATTGATGGCTTAAGTTAGAAGTGGCTTTCGTCAAGGACTTCTGATATTGAACTACTCATCGCTTCTGAATGTATCATTTTTAAAAATCGTGGATGCTAATCGTATGTCAAACATACGACATATGTAATCGATTTACGTGACAGTTAAACGTGTGTATATTGCATGGAATGTCATGCTAAGGGCAAAAGTTGTCTTCGTCGTGTTAAACCACTCTCCTCCAGAACGGCATCATGCTCGATGTAATTATCCCAACTTGAAGACCTTCAATCAAAGTCACCCTCCCACATAACAGTGTATGACACAATAACAAACGTGCCTTAATCATGTTCTAAATCCCCTTCATCAAAATATATTTTCGTTATCCATGGAATTCAATAGTTCTTCCAGTGCCGTACCAGCTGGGGTTATATAACGTTACTGTTGACGTGTGACGTGAGATCAGACATGACACCGAAGCCCACTTTCGATTTCGAAATGCAAAGTTTCCGGCTGTAAATTAGTCGATGCCAGTTTGCATTCATTCTCTCAGCCTCTACCCATTGATTTTTCAGGGTCGTACGCGGGTGCCGTTCTCGGCATGCCGTTATCGGCGGTCCTCACCGAGTACCTAGGATGGCAATCGGGATTTTACGTGTTCGGTAAGCTTTTCCCAGTTTCCGACTTCGTGTCCTCTTCAATAAACCTCAGCAAGAGCCAGACCGGCTGCTTGATTAGACTACCATCATCCTTTAGCAGGGGCCATTGTAGAGTCTCGCCTTTAATGTGTAATTCTCTAAGTGTATTTCCCCGCGGAATAGCCTACTGTAGTAAAACTGACATTTAGCCAAATGAAAGCTTAATCTGAGCTATTTTCAAGGAGAACTGTAAAGTCAACAAAGGAAAAGAGGGTTGACTTGTTTGTGATTGGGACGGTGTACGTTAAATGACGTTTTAGACGTTGCCCAATGAAGCGTGGTCTTCAATCAGACCTGCCCATTGTCACGATCACTCTCGTTTAAACATGTTGTGTGTCTTGACACATCGCTTGATCGAAATATCGATACGTTGTTATTGATGATAGCTTCCGAAACCCAGTTCGATTGAAAGATATCTGATGGGAAGAGCATTAATACAGTTTACAGCGTCAATCACAGTCGGCTTTGACTAATAAAGCGAAATTGAAAATTCACATTTAATTTATTTTATTGAAAAGCAGAATCTGGTCATTTTAGACGGACAATATGATTTCTCGAGCAGAATAATGCACGGCTGTCATTACGAAATTCCTCCCTGATGAAGTAGTGTCCATGGACCAGTGATGCAGATTGTTGGAAATACAAGTTTCTATTACAGTTCATTTATTACCTTAGGGGATGCTTTCTCTAAGAGCATTATGTCCAAACACATTTACATTGTGGCGATCTCCGGAGCTATGGCATATAAATAACATTTGACACTTTTCTTAATCAAATAAAATACCGAATTGAATGGAAGGTCCCGACAATGGAATTTGCAATATCACTGCATATTCAATACGCGATACAAAATACGAATAAAAATATTCTGCAGGCAATATTTTTCTGCCCCAAAATCGAACAGATTTATCGGGAAACAATTCAGATCAAGTCGTGTGGTATGAAACTGTTCATATACCTCCGATTTATTAGAAATGATTCACCCTGAAGGAATTTGATTTCCAACAAATTAACATATTAATTTAGTATGGTATTTTTGGCCAGAGTAGCAAAGATACTCTTTTATGTATAAAACAAACACTTAAAAATATTTATAGTTCAGTATCATGAATATATTTGGAGATGTGTTTATGTGTTCTAAGTCTTCACTACAAAGAGAATCTTCCAAAATTAATCATGATCCCTATCTTTTTTGGTTCATTGTATTTTGAGAATATATGAACATACGTACTTTATCCACATGGTTTAAGATAGGGAAATTACAAGTTTATAGTTTTGAAAAACCGTCTGAATTGAACTAACACCCGATGACCCCAGCAACCCTGTTGTTATGCTGACGTCACATGGCATTGTTTCGCCGATGTATCTTGCAACTAACTTCACAAACTACGTCATAGGGTATTGTGACGATTACGTCATAGGGTATTGTGACGTGTTTGTAAACTTTGTGGTGTAGGACCCGATCCACAAAGCGATCGCATTGCAACGACAGTCGTAAGTCTATGTTAAAATATGGGAGGGGAATCACTTTAACGCATCGATGGTTTTGTGGAACGGACCCCTTAAGCCCTCGCATGGTCCTAAATTTATACGTGTCAACTTTTGATATGTTTGCAGTTTTATTCCGTTAAACTCTATTGGATTATGTTGTTGATCGCGTAGAGTCTGCCTATTTACACACGTTAGTGACTTTAAAAAAATATAAACGGCAAATAATAAATAAAATACTGAATGAAATAACGTTAAAGTAGCTGTGACGTCACATGATAAGTATCATTGTTTAATATCAACATGCAGTGGTAGACGCTGTCCCGTTAAGAAACCTCGACATCATAAGAGAAGATTGGAATACATTTCAATATACCACTGCCCTCCTGTGTATAACACTGCGGGAGTTGTATATTTCACCGCATATAGGTGTATATTTCACCGCATTATCTCTCTGTTACAGGTGTGTTAGGTGCAATATGGTCTGTTATATGGTGGTTCTTTTCATTCGAAAGACCGGGAGTACATCCCACCATTACAGACGAGGAGAAGATCTACATCGAAACCTCCATCGGAGAAAACACATCTATCATCAATAAGGTTGGTATTGAGGCACCGTTGTACAAAAGTTCCTCAGCAAATCAGCGTCTTGGAATAGGCGCGGTCATTGTGGTATATTGTTTATTTTGAGATTCTGAGTGTTTCGGGGTTCGAATCCCGGTTAGCCGATAATGTATCTAGTATTGTCAGCACCATACCTGTGCTCGTCTGTTGCGCTAAAGTGGCAAATGTCCTTCATAGCTTGGCAAGCCGGGATATAACTGAATACTGTTCAAAGCGGCGTCAAACTAACTCACTCACTCACCGACTCGAGTGATGAGATGCCACATGACCACTTGCAGATTACTACCATGCATTTGACACGCAATGGCATGACAGCTACTAACTTCAGTACCTCATTACATATATTTTTTTTTGTTTTGACATTGGTTAATCCACCATGATGTTCTAATGGTGGGTAGCCCAGTGGTTAAAGTGTTCGCTCGTCACGCCGAAGGCCCGGGTTCGATGCCCTACAGGTTTACGATGTGTGAAGCCCATTTGTTATGTCCTCACTCACACACTATAACACTATTAACAACAATAACAATAACAATATTACTAATAATGTAGTATAATGAAGTACCAGTTCTAACCCAGGGCCCACTTGCACAAAGCGATCTTAGCGCTAAGATGATCGTAACTCCCATACTTTAACATAGGCTTACAAAAGTCGTAGCGCTAAAATCGTTTTGTGCAAGTGGGCCCGGGTCTTCATGGGTTTGCCTAGTTTGAACCATATGGATATCATAATAACATCTATTGTACTTCTTTCCGCAGAACCATAAGACCCCATGGGTCAAGTTTTTCACGTCGATGCCGGTATATGCCATCATGGTGGCAAACTTCTGCCGAAGCTGGACTTTCTATCTCCTTATCATCAGCCAGCCCACATACTTCCTCAAGGTTTTCGGCTTTGAGATTGACAAGGTACTGTCTACCTCCATTTTGTTCAGTTGAAGTAAGAATTGATGTCGTTGAACGTGACTGAGTTACTAAAAGTCCAATTAAATAGTTCTGTTTTGATACCTAAGGGTAACCTATTCAGTAAGATGGTTAAAAGCAATATATATTAACGTCGATTTGTGATTGAATTTAAGGTGTTGACATATAGCCAATATCTCGACTGGAATTAATATGAATAACATGAAAGAATTATTCAAAATTATTTTCCCCTAAATTCATCAGTGTGAGACACACAAAGTTGCCTATTCGATATTATCTGATACCGGGTGATTCGGTGATGAGAGCGTTGTGGTAAAAACTTCACCAGGTTACGCAGAAAACCGGTTGGGATCACAACATCCTTAATATTGCTTGGTTTAGTTAGCCACAAATATTAACACACAAGCTTTATGTATTTTTATTGGAAAGAAATCGCATGTATGTCCAAGAGCTGCCTTCAAAATAAAGTATACATTATTTGTTGTGAACAGATTTTCATATCTTGCGAAAAAAACTGAAACTGGTTGAAAACGATTGCCCCAAAACACCCAAAAGGTTGAAAATTTCTGACTTGAGAAACATGATATACAATGTAAATGTGTAGTTGGTATAAAAAGCAAGCGGTTGGATCCCAAAACATATATGAAAGCATGTGAAAGCACGCGAGAAATATGACGAGGGTATCAGCAGAACGCTGATGGTGCTACGCGGGTACATATTGCAAGAACATTCTGGTACAGCCGACTGACCACTGGCAGACTATTTCATCTACCAACGGACTGTCCACCACGGGGAGGGACATACCAAAAAGGTGTCGACCACGTGTCCCCACAAAAGCACGGTTATCCGCGCAGGTTATGTCTGCGCAACCGCTTTATTGAGGGTCAAGGACCCCGCCGCATCAGCAGACGATTAGGTACTGCAGGCCTTCGGAATCTCGGAAGGGCCTTGAGCCGTCGACAGCGGTAAAATAGACGTCAGTGGTCGCGAACGAGTTTGGTCAAGAGTTCAGTTCAGAGACGAGAGCAGGTTCAATGGTCGTATTCGGGTGCATCGACGGAGAGGTGAATGATTGGATCTTGAATGCATCCAAGAGGTTCATCTTTTTGTAGGCGGTTGCGTTGTGGTGTGGGTGGGATTTGTGGTGAACGGATGACACGTCTTGTCATCATCCATCGACATGTGAACGTCCAACGTTACAGGGATGCAATTCTGCAGCCAGTTGTCCTTCTCTCAGAAGACAACCACAAGACATACGTTTCCGACAGGATAATGTCAGGCACCACACTTATCGAATATTCCAGGATATTCTCATCATCATTAATGCATCCGTGTTGCCTACACCGATAACCCATTTCTGGTATCACCTTGTGTGACAAGATGACATCGAAACCTATCGAACATCGTATAGCGGTTTGAACGCGCGTTTTTGGAGGAGTAGGACATCATACCCAATGACGTAATCAAGCGGATGACGTCATCGATGAGGCGTTGTGTCCAGGCATGTCTGGACACACGAAGAGGTCACACAAGATACTGATGCGATTTACCGAGGTGCTATGGAAACGCTGAGAAATTATTTTTTGGCTTGTACCATAAATGATTAAACTTCAAACCATATTTCAAATCAAATGTGTACGTTTTCTCGTTTTCTATTAAAAGCAGTCCAAGTCGATATATACTTTTTCTGATCAGGAGTGTCAAAGGTTTGACTGTCCCCGTGATAAAGTTTTCATTTAGAGCTATCTTCAATGGCTACCTGTGATCAGTTATCTCCCTTTGTTTCGGTAACAAGGTGGTGAGTTGACGCCGCCCTCTGGACTACGCTTACTTTACTAAAATGCAATTTCTGCAAGAGAAACCAATAATAAGATTATATTTACTTGCACATCATAGCTAAAGAGCTACACCAATGTGCATGAACAACTGAAACCGATGAAGAATCAAGACCTTACTATAAATAATGAAATATCGAAACAGTTATTTTAATTTTATATAGTTGTACATAGGTCAGGAACTCGTTCAACAAAGCTCTGAGACAATCGTAAGCCAATTGTTTAGATATGCCTACAATACAAATTAAAATTTATTTATTGGCGATTTGAAAGAGAAGAATTGGTGCAAATTGAAAACAAGGATTATTATTATTCCCGACGAACAAAAAACAATGTTTGTTTTATTTTCAAGAGCGGCACCCTGTCTGCTTTGCCCCATCTGGTGATGGCTATCATCGTCCCTATAGGGGGGCAGCTGGCTGACTTTCTGCGTCGCAGGATTCTCACAACAACTGTTGTTAGGAAAATCTTCAACTGCGGAGGTAAGGCCTTTCAGTGTTAGTTCGTCATGGTTTGTTCCGGTCTTTAGGCTGACGTGGAAGTCACACGTCTATATGTCTTGTACAGCAGGTTCTACAGTAACGTTCAAACCAACGTCAAGGACACCCACAAAAAGTATGCAACAATTGGTTTTTTGATATTACGGAACGTTCAACCCAACGTCAAGTACACCCACAAGAAGTACGCCACAATTGGTTATTTGTTATTACGTAACGTTCAACCCAACGTCAAGTACACCCACAAGAAGTACGCCACAATTGTTTTTTTATTTGATATTACGGAACGTTCAACCAAACGTCAAGTACACCCACAAGAAGTACGCCACAATTGGTTATTTGTTATTACGTAACGTTCAACCCAAAGTCAATCACACCCACAAGAAGTTTGCCACAATTGTTTTTTTTATATTACGTAACGTTCAACCTAACGTCAAGTACACCCACAAGAAGTACGCCACAATTGGTTATTTGTTATTACGTAACGTTCAACCCAAAGTCAAGTACACCCACAAGAAGTATGCCACAATTGGTTATTTGTTATTACGTAACGTTCAACCCAACGTCAAGTACACCCACAAGAACTATGCCACAATTGGTTATTTGTTATTACGTAACGTTCAACCCAACGTCAAGTACACCCACAAGAAGTATGACACAATTGTTTTTTTTATTTGATATTACGGAACGTTCAACCAAACTTCAAGTACACCCACAAGAAGTAAGCCACAATTGGTTATTTGTTATTACGTAACGTTCAACCCAAAATCAAGTACACCCACAAGAAGTATGACACAATTGTTTTTTTTATTTGATATTACGGAACGTTCAACCAAACGTCAAGTACACCCACAAGAAGTACGCCACAATTGGTTATTTGATATTACGGAACGTTCAAACCAAACGTCAAGTACACCCACAAGAAGTATGCCACAATTGGTTATTTGTTATTACGGAACGTTCAAACCAACGTCAAGTACACCCACAAGAAGTATGCCACAATTGGTTATTTGTTATTACGTAACGTTCAACCCAAAGTCAATCACACCCACAAGAAGTATGCCACAATTGTTTTTTTTATATTACGTAACGTTCAACCCAACGTCAAGTACACCCACAAGAAGTACGCCACAATTGGTTATTTGTTATTACGTAACGTTCAACCCAACGTCAAGTACACCCACAAGAAGTATGCCACAATTGTTGTTTTTTATATTACGAAACGTTCAACCCAACGTCAAGTACACCCACAAGAAGTAAGCCACAATTGGTTATTTGTTATTACGTAACTTCCAACCAAACGTCAAGTACACCCACAAGAAGTATGCCACAATTGGTTATTTGTTATTACGTAACGTTCAACCCAACGTCAAGTACACCCACAAGAAGTATGCCACAATTGTTGTTTTTTATATTACGTAACGTTCAACCCAAACGTCAAGTACACCCACAAGAAGTAAGCCACAATTGGTTATTTGTTACTACGTAACGTTCATCCCAACGTCAAGTACACCCACAAGAAGTATGCCACAATTGGTTATTTGTTATTACGTGACGTTCAACCGAACGTCAAGTACACCCACAAGAAGTAAGCCACAATTGGTTATTTGTTACTACGTAACGTTCAACCCAACGTCAAGTACACCCACAAGAAGTATGCCACAATTGGTTATTTGTTATTACGTAACGTTCAACCCAAAGTCAATCAAACCAACAAGAAGTATGCCACAATTGTTTTTTTTATATTACGTAACGTTCAACCCAACGTCAAGTACACCCACAAGAAGTACGCCACAATTGGTTATTTGTTATTACGTAACGTTCAACCCAACGTCAAGTACACCCACAAGAAGTATGCCACAATTGGTTATTTGTTATTAAGTAACGTTCAACCCAACGTCAAGTACACCCACAAGAAGTAAGCCACAATTGGTTATTTGTTATTACGTAACGTTCAACCCAACGTCAAGTACACCCACAAGAAGTACGCCACAATTGGTTATTTGTTATAACGTAACGTTCAACCCAACGTCAAGTACACCCACAAGAATTATGCCACAATTGGTTATTTGTTATTACGTAACGTCCATACACATCAGAAGAACGCATGAATAAATAATTGCGTGTAATAACGTAACGTTCAACCAAGCGTAAAGTGCGGTACTGGATAACAAACACGTATATTTTATGTTGATCGGGTGCTATAGGTGGAGCAGGGCATACTGACATTTTTTGTTGTCATTATCGATTACCGGGGATGCATTCCTATCATTTCCACAACTATTTTGCCTTCAACGCCCAGTGGAATCTGTTTGGGCAGATAATCGAGATCTGATTATTTTCTGGAGGAAGAAAACAAATTTGTTCCACCGAAAACAACAATTATAAAACAGTGTCTGACCCTCAATGTAGAGCCTACAATAACGTTCCACCGAAAATAATATATGCTAGTATACAACAGTGTATGATATCCAATGTAGATCCTAACATAGCGTTCCACCGAGATTAACATATGCGAGCACACAACAGTGTGTGATATTCAACGTAGGTCCTAACATAGCGTAGCCTAGTGGTTAAAGCGTTCGCTCGTCACGCCGAAGACCCGGGTTCGAATCCCGACATGGGTACAATGTGTGAAGCCCATTTCTGGTGTCCCCCGCCGTGATATTGCTGGAATATTGCTGAAAGCGGCGTAAAACCGTACTCACTCACTCACCCTAACATAGCGTTCCGCCGAAAGTAACATATACTAGCATACAACAGTGTGTGATATTCAACGTAGATCCTTACATAGCATTCCACTGGAATTTGATATTGAGTTGCATTTTTTGCAAGGGGTCAGCAGTCGTATTAATTTCAAGATTCACAGTACTAGCATACAGCAGTGTATGGTATTCAACGTAGGTCCCAACAGCCTTCCACTGAAAGTAGCATATATACAGCAGTGTCTGAACCCTGACATAAATCTCCAACATCTGTGCTGTACATTCATTCCATCCACAGAAACTCTACACCCAGTCTGGCAGAATGTACCAATTCCCAGGCGACACATGGTATAAAACTCAGTGATGCGCAATACGCTTCATCCTCTGATGATTCGTATAGTTTCACAAATTGTTTTTTTCATAAACTGGTACTGATAAAACACTTAGCTTTATTATACGTTGATCGTTTGTTGGTGTTGTTAAATTGCAGACAACTTACTTCAAAGGGTACTTTTCGATAGCAAATAGACTTTGTATTTTTTATGCACCAAAATGGTACTCGGAATGTGCAACGTGATACCGTGACTTCTGCGACGTCAGACAGGGAGTATCAAATAACAATAAACGTCCTCTGATTCAACCAGCTAATTTGACACATCAGCACATGTCACACTCCATGGGTTGATGCAGGTTAAATCGTCCAAATGACAGTTCACAAGACTCATCAGTCTTTGATGCCAAACACAGCAACTTCATTCCACCACAAGAGTATTACTACGTAGTCTGTAGACCCGTGAAGATCCTGGGTAGAATAGGTCTTCAGCAACCCATGCTTGCCGTAAAAGGCGACTATGCTTGTCGTAAAAGGCGACTAACGGGATCGGGTGGTCAGGCTCGGTGACTTGGTTGATGCATGTCATCGATCCCAATTGCGTGGATCGATGCTCATGATGTCAGTCACTTGATTGTCTGGTCCAGACTCGATTATTTACAGACCGCCGTCATATAGCTGGAATATTGCTGAGTGCGGCGTTAATCAACCAACCTACCAACCAAGTAGTCTGTATCACCGAAGTAGTAAATTCGAGTAAGCACGCGTCCCCGCTTTACATTAATTCCATCTTGAAGGCTTAAAATTGCATGTCTGTGTCTTCCCGGATTTATTTGTACAGTAAACTACGGTTATAACGAACTTAAAGGGACTGCTAATTTTAGTTCGTTATAACCGTAGTTCGTTATAAGCATAACTACAGCAAATAGTCGGGACCAAAAAAGTAAGTTCGTTATATCCGTCAGTTCGTTATAAGCGTGTTCGTTATAACCGTAGTTTACTGTATTTACTGAACTCGATTAGACTATTTGTAACCGCATTAAGCCTCTCGTCCCTATTGGCGAGTCTACCAATATCTCCGACATGGTCGTTATAAGTATCATCATCACAGAGTTGTTAAAGTTTAAACTAAACTTTGTGGAGGTGAAAAGGACATAAAGCTCTTGTTTTCAATTCAGAGCAATGTAAAAGTTCATTTGAATCTGAACACATCGTGCACAAGATCTGTCTCTCTTTGAAGATGACATTCTCAAAAGGTGAAGATGACATTCCTAAAATAGACATACATAAACCTAACGTACCATTTCAAAATAACTGTCTGAACAATTCGACTTCATCTGTTGAAGTTACGCAAGGCAGGATCCAAAGCTCTCATACTAATCCAGTATGATTCCGTTTACGCATCTTCACGAAACTGATAAACTTTCAAATTCTCGGACGGAGCATCTAATAAGCCCGGTGTACCATGCCCTCAGAGTGAAGTCCGATCACTCTGAGCAGTCCATTATTAATCATCATTAACCGTAATGCCGTGCCCTGTTCCCTAAGTCGCTTTCTTTGCCTGTTCATCTGGATGTGAGAGAGACTACAAAAGCATTCAAGACATGCATTTTAGGAAAGGTAATCGGATTTTCTCTTGGCGTGTTCTGGCTTGCCTGCCACCCCCAATCCGTAACTTTAATCATATCAAACCCAAGCGTGCGTGTTTACCTCTAAGACATGGGCTTTTGTGGCATGCGCGTGGAAGGACTATATACCGCCCATCGACACAATCAATTTTTAAAGTCAATCGCCGCCTCCATTCTCATTAAAACGAGGCTCTGGGACTCAGATCGAGGTTGCTGCCAAATCTCCAATGGGTTTGGTTATCACGCTAAGGCTTAGACACGTCAGGACCAAAGACATCAGACCGTGCTTATATCAAAGCGATAGTTTCCTGAATCGAGCTT